AGTTTGAAAGCAAAATCTGGCAGCATAGAATTGACAAAATTTTGGATTTCAATAAAAGATGAACATCCCCTTTTAAGTGTTAAGGCTCAAGGAATTTTAATTCCATTTTCAACGTTGTATTTATGGAAAGTTTTTGGTGGTTGATGTAGTTGAAAGCAAGTATACAGCAAAAATCAACATGGAAATGACAGTAGCTGTGCCCATTTAATTCCACGATTTGAGAAAATGTGCCTTAATCCAATAGCACAATTTGCAAGCTCATCCATCACATTAATGATTAATTTAATGTTAATGAAGTAAAAAAAAAACTGTTATCTCTTACTTACGATTACTCATACTTTTACTTAGGGCATAACCCATGGAAAATTTTAAATTGAAGAAAGGCACCACGAACTTGGAAAAGTTTGAAAACCATAGGTTTATACTTTTAATAATTTTCAGTTACAGTATGGATCAAGTTAACACCACATTTCTAGCCTGTTCATTTCCACTAAAGAAAATTCTGCAAAAAAGGCTTGTGACTCACATAATAAATGTAAATTACTGTAAGAAATGGTAACAGAACTTTGTCACCCCATAATTTCATCAAAGATGCTGATCTTAGCAACAAGTCCCTTCCTCGACTGAATCCTCTTCAACAATTAATAAAGTTAATTTTACAGCAGAAAGCATAATCAGGCAGTCTTTCTTGATTGCATGCCCATGATTCAGAATAGCTTTAAGGGATTACTTGATATTTGTACTCTGTGCCCTTTCCAGTGAATATCCCTCTTCTTTCCTATTCACCAAATCTCAATCTAATCTATTAGATTTCTGGTTTAATGTTAGTTAAAAAAGAATAGCACACCAAGGTATCATTAGCAAACTGCCTGAGCATAGAATCCTAAAACACATATAAAACATCACAAATAATTTAATTTTGAGGTACAGTGTGTATTTAATTATGGCAAAGCACACTAGGGCTATCTGCCTATGGGGGAGGGATGCTTTCGTGGAGGACTTTCTAAGGTAAACTGGCTCGTATACACGTTACACATGGGGAAAACCACAAAAACACCCATGTAGCCAGCCCGTCCGTGGGATTCGAACCTCGGACCGAACAACCAGTGTTCAGCGACTTTACCGCTCGGCCGCTGGTGGGCTTTTGAGGTACAGAACATAATCTCTCAATGTCTGGATGACTTTTTTATTTATATTAATTTAATAATTTTTATAACATTCCTACCAATAAAGAGATAAACCTCCTGAGCTCAGTTAATAAATTAAGCATATTCAACCCAAATTCTTAGAGTCAAAAATAAATAAATAAATAAAATAGAATAAAATGCATGGCTAAACTATTTCTATATTGCTTATACCTCTGAAATTCCAGTTCCAAAATCATCTGGAAGCATAGACGTTGTTTTTATAGACAGTGCTCACTCTACTGCAATACAGCTTCAGAATTTCCTTGCGATTGCCAATTTTTTTTTTTAAAAGTCAACAGAGGAGTTTTTAAGTAAAAGCTGGTTAAAATTATTTAATGAGTACCTTGTTATTTAATGAGTGTCTTGCTACGCTGCTGAGCAATAAAACAAACTTACAATATGTCACAGACTATTTCACTAGCAAAGGAAGGAATCTTTAAAGGGTTAATGTTTCAATTTAAAAATACAAATTGTATTTTAATTTATTTCACTGCACATCTGGTATTTTGTAGACTTACAATTTGATGTATTCTACTATTGTACTTAAATCTATGCTACATTATCTATATATCAGAAAGGCAACAAACAGAGAGACCATCTTGGTGAAAATATCTCTAGCCGTGCCACATCTTATTAAGTAAAGTGCATGCATGCCAGGTTTACAAATGTTCTGCAGGAAAATCACTGAATCCAATCATCATGCACACATGAAATTGAAGTTAAGATTAAACTAGCATGTGATTCAAAAAGACATATCAAATTTCTTTACCACATTATCTTTCCAAACAGCCGAGCCCTCCGTGTGCATGTGTGTGTATATATAAAAATATTTGATATAATATATATATAAAATATTTGACCTAATACCTTTAAATAAGTATATATATACACTGATCTTGATATACGCCCACACTATTAAAGCAGTATACTGAAAGGCAGCAGAAGTCATTCAGGAATTAAAATCAAGAAAACACCCCTGATTGCCCTTTTGACAGTTTAAAGATTACAGAGGCAAAATTCTTGAATTTTTGGTGGATTAACTGAACTCTGTCTCTAACTTTTGTTTTCTGTATTAATTGTATACATTCTGACCTGGTAACTTAACTCAAAAAACAAGAGCGAAATGCCATACTTGTATTTTAGAGTATCAATTGTCGTTTCTAAAGATGGCAGAAATAAGAATTATTCATTTTACCAGCATTAATTGTATGCTCATACCTTCCAAGCACTTTACAGTATCACAACTATAATTTATGGACATTTATTATGCTAAACAAGAGGGAAAAAGTTAACATGTTACTAATGCTAGAAACAAGAGGAGAAGGGAAAAGATAAGTCAAATATTGTCTGAAAATTTATAAGCCAGATTCCTTACTAACCTATTTATGAACATCAAACTGTGGTACGCATTCAATATTTGAAGAATTTTCTGTAACCTGGGAATGGGTACTTCTGTTCCTGGCTATTTAGTTACATTGATCTGAATAGCATGCACATGCATGAGTAAATAGTATTGAGGATTTGAGCTGTTATATTTAAGCTATATAGACTGTTATCCCTTCTATTTAATTTTGAAACTTGAAGTCTTTGCAACTTATGCTTATTTTTTCCTTCTACCCTCTCCTTCTGCTGCTTTACAATATGGATAGGAAGCTATATATATATTGAATCAATGGATACAGAAGCACTACTGTATATGCATATAATCTTGAGGAAAAAAGTGCAATAATTACTTGACACTACAAAAATACTTAAAAGTATGCTATTATCTTTATTCCAGTAAACTACCAGACTCTTTTACACATTTTATCTATACCTGAATGCAAATTTAGTAATTAAAAACATTGCAAACAAAAAGTTAATGAAGGGGATTGAAAATTTTGTAGGGTTATATTACTTTTACTAACAGTCACTTTAATTTGTTAGCCTATCTATCACACCTTTTTTCCTTTGCATTTCTTCATCAGGATGTAAATGAGTTAGGATGAATGAGAGTGCATTTAAACGGAAGTAGAGAAAAGATTAGTCAGAATGTGTTTTTGCTATTGAGTGCACATGCTGTTATTTTTACCAACTGTTTGAATTTTGAATCCCAGTTTAGCATTCTTGTTGCTGATGTTAGTGTTTTTGCTGCTGGTGTAGGTTTCTGAGTTAATCTGCAAGGTTAAATTAATTTGTGCAGTCTTGAAATACTAGCTTTTCTCTTAAATTCAGTTTGCTATCATTAAGCTCCTTATCACAAGTGTTTGGTGAAATTGTACACATAAAAGACCATGCCATCTGTACATAACTGAGTTCAATAAAAGGTTTTTTACACCCTTACCCTTATGCATTCATCTTCTAGTTTAAGTCATTACACAAACTTTCAAGTAGGTCTAGAAGCAGTGTGTGTATGTTAGCCAAGAAGACTAGATATTACAGTTTCAAAAAAGGAAAGAAAAAAAAAAAAAAAAAAGGTTAAAATAAAGAAAAGATATTTGATCTTGTTAGAATGAACCAAAAAAATTTAAATAAAGAACAAATCAATTTCAAGCAAAGCAACTAAGGAAGCTTACTGTGAATGTTTAGTTGTCAGCAAGACATAAGTGCTGTGAAGTATTTAATTGTGCTCTTAACAGAATGCTGTGAAAAAGTCAATAAACATAAATAAACTAAAACAGAAACAGAACATAAAATTAGCATTATACAAGATACAAAATAAAACATAAGTGGCAAAATCATTATTTTTAAAGTTTGAAAGATACAAATTCAGGAAGTACAAACTGCATAAGAGGGGGGGGAAGGGGGCTTCATAAAAATAATTTTGTATTAGAATTTTGTTTTCAATTTTTTTTTAACACAAGCTTAGAGTTTAGGTTAGTACTAATTAATGAAGTAGCTTCCAGTTACACTAAAATTATTATTAAAATTTGTTTTACCAGAAACGAGATAGATTAATACCACATTAGATAACCAGCTTTGTCCAATGCCAAATTAAAAATAATTAAAATAGCATTTGCAAAAAAAATTAACATGGGGAGAGGGGAGATCCATATTCCCCCACTCCCTGTGTTAATTTCCTAATCATTCCTATTTCCAACATTTTATTACGATTATTTCACATCAGGTGCTTATTACAGATATTCTTTATTAGATAAACAAAAATACAAAGTCTTTTGAAGTCATAAAAATTTGGTCCGATAGTTTAAGTGCGATATTCCCAGATGCACTTTTGATAGATTAGATTCTTTCAATACTATATTTTTTCACGCAGTTGTGCATTTTTCTCAATTCTAATAGTCACTGTTTATATAGTTTTTCCATCAAACAATGTACCACTGAAAAATGGTAATTGAGATATGACTCTACTCGGGACAAAGATATGAACTTAACCCCTTAACTGCCGCGGGCGTATATATACGCCTTGCTCAGCCGATGCGTTAACTTTATGAATAATTTTAGGTGTAGCAGCGCAAAGCAAATGATAGCAGTTTGGAAGGACGTATATATACGCCTGGGGCAGTTAACGCATCGGCTGAGCAAGGCGTATATATACGCCCGCGGCAGTTAAGGGTTAATATAGTTAATAAACTGCTATCAGCATTCTTTTATTGTAAACATTCTAATACTCATTATCATCTCACTAATTTATAAGTAACAAAAAATATGTTACTTTTGAACATACAAAGTTCTGAATCAGTGTTTTTTTTTAAATCAGTTAATTAAAATCATGACCTGAATTAATGATTTTAAACAACTAATTAAATAACTGATATCAAACACCAATAGAAAATTTAAATTACAATCAAATATAACAGAATATTGTCTATTCACCTTGGTGTCACATTTGTTAAATCACTAGAATGCCTTAATGCAGATGTTGTTATGGTATAAATTGATGAGGTATTCATAAAGCTTTTTCCAGGATTTGAATAATCTGAAATAAATTTAAAAAAAACCATTTTAGTCTTTTGTAAATTCTTTTAAACACTGATTCAAAAAGAAAAAAAAAATATATATATCACTATATTCCCTTAATAAAATTATGAAATATTATGCAGTTAAAATATTAAACTTCACAAATATTTAACCAAAAAATAAATTCCAAAGAAAAATTATTGATTCTGTAAGAAGACACATACCATCATCTTCCTCAAAATCTCCTAAGCTGACTTTTTCATCCAAATCTTGCAATCTTGTTTCACCTTTTATTTTAACTCCTGGTCTGTGCTCAAATATGCCTCCTAGATGAGGAGTTGCTAGCCTCTGCCAGTGATGCAATGTTTGAGAACCTACAAATAAAATGCATTTGTAATCTTTTTACTATTACAGTTAATAACATTTATTATCAATTATAGATTCTAGCAGCAATAAATAAATAAAAGATACTGTTCATTATGCGGCAAACAATGACAACTGATGAACCATTGTATGCTGATGAACTATGATCTTGTGGTGATTTCTAAGGCTTTTGTAATCTTAAGGTTTGTTGATGATTTTAGCTTTGTCCCCTTCAGTTACTGAGCTTTGATGCTCCAAGGATTATTTTGCAAAAGGTGCAATATCTTTAATGCTGTACTGATTGGCAAAGAGTTTGTAAATAACTTTCTTGTGCTTAACAGTTCTACTAATAATTTTCTAGATGTCAAACTGATGCATTGAGTTTTACAACTTGCATCTTCATCAAGGAGAAGCATAGTATGCATATCTGATGTGTCTGTTGTGCTGAGACCAGATTAGTCCATTCTTAACAACTTCTAGAAGGATGGGGCTATTGCTAAGACAAGACTGCCTCCGTTTATTTTTAAAACCAGATCAATGCATGGTATAATGAAAGAGTTAAGGAATGTTCCAATGAATTTACTTCCATATAGTTTCTGAGTTGACACCAACTTTATTTCTCAAAAATTGCAGACATCTGTCTATTGATCTATGAATTTACTGCCAACTAATATAGCAACAAAATTAGAACATCTCTGGTAAAGCGTTCTTAGAGCATTCAAATTTGGTAAATGAATGGGGAAAAACAAAAATCAAGAACAAACCAGGCAAAATGGCAGCTTTAAAATTTAAAGCATTAGAAACTGCCTCCATACTGCATTGCAATAGAGACATCTCCTTCAATCTGCCACATATCTGTATGTCAGCACTTAAAAATACAGCAATCTTATGTTAAATAACCTCACAAGACACAGCAATGAAAGAAGGGAGAACTTGACTGGACTGTTTATTCTGATTCTAACTAATGAAGCAGATAGGTCACCTGCGAAAACTCCTATCTACTAATGTTTAAACATGGTTTTTAGCTTAGCAAACTAGAATATTTTATTTCACTTTATATTTATTATACTTTTATTTATTTTTATTACACAGTTTGCTATGTTCAGTTTTGTGCACTACAAAATATAATATTACTAGCTGTGTTACCCAGCTGTGTTTAGGTAGTTATAGTAGCACCAGTAAAGGCAAAAGTTCCAAAAACAAAATCAAAATATATTTAAATTTCTTTATGGTTTTTGTAACTACCACTCACTGACCACCTAAATCTTAAAATTTTAAACCTATTTGGCTTCTAACTACTGCCAGATTTTTTTCTAATTCTTAGCCTAAGTAAATCCCAGAAAAATTGAAAATGTGTATTTTATATTTTGTTGATTTAACTTTTATTATATATCAATTAAATTATTCAGGCTTTACACTAACCTTATTCTGCAATGATATAAAGAATATGCGGCATTACTGTCATTATTAAATATTCACAGACATATTAAATATTTGCAGTAGCATTGCTATCACAGTTTTCAAATGTCCAGCAGAAATGCTACCAGCAGAACTAATCTATAATCTATCTGTTAGTTCTTAGTCAATTTGTCTGCTGTTGTTTGTATGACTAAGAACTAGAATTCAAAAAAGCATTCACCTTTATACATTATTATTATTTATGAGTTATTTTGTTATAAACAGAGTCTTTGGATCATCATCAAAGATTTACTATGACCAAAAGTAGGTAGAAAATCAGAAAGTTTGAGAACTTTATCACATACCCGTCCTGTAATTTTTATTCTTCATTTCCATCACATAAATTAAATTCATGTAGAAAACAAAAGAAGCCATGCATTTTAATAGTTTTCCCTTGGTAAGGCAGAGTCCCCACTTTCAGGGGTTATCACTTCTATCAACAGTTCCTGCTAAATGGGACTTTTCTGAGAAACGAGATTCTGGTACCACTGGTTTAAATGAGAGGATTCCTAGAATAAAGAGACCCACTGGAAACAAAGTCCTGCCTAGCTACGGAAACAATGTCATGGCTACATGGGATTTTTTTCAAACCTCACTGAAAATGTCTCCATTGGAGCTCTGTCCTGAGTAGAGTCAACCAATCAAACGAAAGTTCTGCTTCTGAATGATCATGCGATCCCAATCTGAGCAATAATAGATTACTGTTTGACATTCAAGTCTTTGTAGTAAATGAAAATGGTAACCTAGCTACGTAGGTTTCCTGAAAATGTGCGGGTTCTGAGAATTGTCCCTTTCGACATTCGGTCCCGCGTAGCCGAAACATAATGTGATTATAACTTTACACACAAAGATAATGCATAATCAGAGATAAAAGGTGATGAAATATAAATACTATCATTTTTGCATTGAAAAGACACCAGACACTATAAAAATGTAAAATCCCAGTTCCTTTACAAAAAGATGGAAAAGTGTGAGAGATTTATGATGGCTTTCTGGCTTTCACTTGTGGAAAAAAGTGTTTTATTTTCCAAATAAGTTTAATGAATATAATAAAAGTGTGAAAAAATTTCAGACTTTCAAACTGCTTTCAGTATATTCTACCTTAAATTCCAGAATATCACAAAAATAAAATTTGAAACTTAAAATATGCATACGAAAATTTTAAAATTATGTTATACTCTAAAAGTTTATCAAAAACTTTTCCATAATGCTGTCAGATAGTATTTAAATTTAAAATTTTGTGTTTCAACCTAAGTATCAGCATATGTTGCATACTAAATCAAAAACTGAATACAAAATATTAATTTCAAACAAAAATATTCCTTTATAGTATATCAAATTTCACCTTCTAAAGGCTTAATAATCTGCAATTTTTCTGGCAGTTGATATCTTCGTACTGTGCGCCCATAAAGACTTTTCTTGATATTCGAAGGCCAAGAACCTCCACTGGCTTTATCAAGTTCATGACTAAGGTCATTACATGTGCCAAAGCCACTGCTCAGAGTGTGCAATCCCACATCTAACTTGTTGGGCCTTCCTTTTTCAGTTTTGCCACTAACATAGCTATATAATGAATAAATTAATTAAATTACTAAAATAATACAGTTTAAGAGAAAAAGAATAGGAATAACTCCTATTTCATAATTTTAAACATCTATATTTGAATCAAAAATTACTAAATTAGAATATTTAAATAATACCTAAAACATATTCAGTAACACAAGAGCTTACAAGCTTGTCTATCTTCAATTATCTATGAAATAAAATTATGAAACCAGTCGAAATGCAAGTTTTTGCTTCAAGTTACATATTCAAAACCACTAATTACATTTTATTTTATTTATTTACTTATTGTGAATCATCATCTTATTAACAGGCATCCTTCAGGAAAATATAATTACTGCTTAATCTGAAAGCATACAAAAATTAACAACAAGAACTGACAATATGTTAGCACATGTTCAGATTGTACTTATAATTTTTTGTGCTTTCTAATATAATTATTTCTAGTACAATTACTGCTTACTTGATGTAAATGGTAATTTAAAACTTTTGGATCAGTACTTTCAAACTGTCGGCCCCCAAAACAGTTTATGCAGCCCACAAAAGACATTCCACTTATGTAATTCATTGTTACAAATAATGAACTTATAAAAAAGATTTCATGATTTTAATTATTTTAAGTCTGAGGTTTACATTATTTTTATTATGATTAAAAACCAACATGAATAACACATCAGAAATTCGTTAAATGGAGTTAAATAATTTACAGTGCAGTATAAATCTTATTAAAGATTTGAAGATACAGATTTTATAACTTGTATTCACACTTGTCACAAAATAAACACATTCAGTTACAAATCTTTGCACTAAGAATAATCATTTTGTTCATGAATACATTTATATGTGAACAGCTTTTTCTCACAGCTGAAAATTATCAAAAAACCGGATTGACCGATGAACATCTACAAACCGTGATGAAGATAATTTCTAGTAATTTCTCTCCAAGCAACAAACGTTATCAAAACCAAAACATCATCAAGTATCAAGCTGTAGCAAGAAATAAAAAGTTTATTTATTATTTAAATACAAATATATACACTTTTATTTATGGGCCAAAGAAAAATTTAATAAATAAAAGAAAGAGACTAAGTTGTCATTATTTATTTTCAAATTTTGTCCCACTAGAAAAATTTTCTCTAAAAAGCTAGAGAAGTTTTCATAATTTCTTTCTGTTTAAATTAAAACTATTTAGTTATTAATTAAACATATCAGAACTATTTTAAATAAACACCATTACAAAGCAATCAATATAATATCTAGCAGTTACTGAACTTTAGACAGAAAATATATTTAAATAAATTTGAATTTTTTCTCTTTGCTATATTATTATTATTGTTTATGTAAGTTTTCAAAAATACTTAATTAGTGAAAAATTGAAATTTAGAGTATTTTTTATTTGTTAATAAAAAATTATACTTTTTTTAAAAAAAAATTTCAGCTCGCCAGCTATTTATAGATCTTGCATATAATCCAAGAGCAATCTCAGTTTGATACCACTGTTTTAGATAACATTAGAATATTAGGATGTTTCAAAGGCATGCCAATCCTGGAAATGCTTAGACATGTGAAAATAAATTCAATTCAAATGTTTAAATAATCAATGAAATTCAAAAATATCTCTATTCTTATTTTATATCAATAGAAAAGAAAATTTTAGCTACTTTCATAGACTTTTCTTTTTATATGTCTAGCATGGTTTTGTAAGAATTTATACACAGTACAAAGTCCGAGATACAGACTCGTCAGGAGTTTGGCGATCCCGGATTTGGGATTTTTCCAGATATTAGAACAGTTTAAATCTAGTAAGATAGCATGTAGAAATTATAAAATTAAAAATATAAAATAATGAAGTTTTTATGAGCTAAAGGGTATCAAAAATTTACAAATTAAAGAGCTTAATATTTAAATGTTTACTTTATTACACATTTCTTTCAATGTATATTGTTTAAGTTGCTTTGTTTCTGTGCTAATACTTTCTCTTTAATTCTATAAACAGATGTAATTTCTTGTTGAGTTACTACTGCTTTGTTGAGAATTCCGACTAACTTGTTAATCGAAATTTCTTCTTTTTCAGTAACTTCTCTGTCACTTTCTTCACTATTGGTAGTGGTATTTTCTGGATCTAGAACCATACTACAGATTTCGCCATCCATTAATTTATTGATGATTGGGGGCATTGTCATTGCAATGAAAAACTTCTGTTAACTCCTTTTCTTCCCTAAATTTTGCCACCCGTTGCAGCCATGCGAGCACTAGTGCTGGTTCTGGTTTTATGTGAATAACAAACCAGTTATTATTAATTCAAATAGTAAATAGTAATAATTGTAATCTTTTCCTCTATGAGTATAATTAACAAAATATATTTTTTAGCATATGGAAAGAAATTTTTGTTAAATCTTTCTTCAGCAACATTTTTTAGCTCATTTGACTTAAACCTATAATTGGCTCCAAGCGTATGTCAACAGAAAAGGTTACCATACTCTTTGTTATTCAATTACTAATACAAAAAAATTGTTTAGGCATTGCTGCATGAGTCATCACTCAAGTTGTCATGTGTTGATAAACACGCAGTGATGAAAGCAAAATATAATAAATAACGATTTGCCAGGTTGGCACCAAGGATATAAAATATTTGTTGGTGCAAATCAACAATGTAGAATGTTTCAGTTTGAGACGTGTGCCTGGCAGATATGCAGCTACGGAGTCAAATTATTGATCACACAAATTTCTGCTAAAATGATTATTTCTTCAATAATGAGGTATTTTAGTATTTAGTGCTGAAGTGAGATTAAGAATCAGGACTCTCTGCATGTTTTATTATTAGCAAGGGGAATCAAATGTGCATGTGTAAAGCATACCCCCCCCCCAGAAAAATATCCTAAAAAAATTGGTTGGTGGTGGCTTTGAGGTCTGGATTTTAGATCACTCCGGATATTGGACATCCAGATCTCAGAATTTGTACTATAAATATGCTAACTGGTTCACCTCAAGTCTCCATCCTCCCTCCTTAAATAAAACATTCTTTATATCTTATTCATCATACACAACATATTTTTTATTTGCAAAAAATAAGCAGGTTTATTAATATCTCGCTGCAATGAAAGTCTTCCACCAAAAACGTTCTTAATAAAGTTAGGAAAAAACATGAAAGCGGTACCTTTAGTGCGAGTAATAATAACTACCCAAATCTATGATTTTCTGCCAATGTTTTGGCAGTCTAAGACTTCAGCTCAGAAACCTGCTGGTTGCGAGACCAAAAACACATCAACTTCGTTTTGGACATCCTGTGCAGAATGGAAAATAGTACCAGCAAGATGTAGCTGCAGGTGTGAAAAAAGAAGTCCAAAGGAGTGATGTCGATGCTATATGGTGGGTGTGTCGAAAGATACCATTCAAGCCCATACAAAGTCCAGCCGATGAATGCATTATCTTGATGGAACATTACCTTTTTGCGCTGGAACACCGTTTGCCATTTTCTCTTCATAGCAGCGTCAATACGGAATAGCATCTTGCTGTACACCTTACCGTCAAGGGTTTTACCTTTTAATAGATACATTTTTGTGGATACTTACCAGATACTTACCACAGCTATTAAACCAGATACAAAGCATGATGGGTTAGTCAAATTGCACTCTGCAATGGTGCCGATGGGCCCAATGAGCTCACCGGGCACAGATCAACCTTTTTTTCTGCCTGTGTTGTTGAAGTAAATCCACTTTTCATCACAAGGAAAAATGTCCAGAATTTTGTCCTTGCATTGATATTTGAGCAGATTAGTGCAGGCCCGAACATGTCTGTCTTTATCTCCTCGAGTCTGCTCATGCAGCACCCAGCCACAGAACTTGTACGTACAATGCATAGCATGTCTTAATAGATATGGCACTAACACCTAACTCCTTAGCAAGCTCTCGAGGGTTGCATACTAATCTTCTGCAAGTTCTTGCAGGAAGGCCTCATTGACATCAGTAGGCTGACCAGAGCGCTCTGTTTCTTGACTGTCATAGTCCTTGTTTTTGAACTTTCAGTAATAAACATTCACAGTATCATATGATACATTAGCACCTAAAAGCTGCATACATGATTTGATGGCATTCTGTTGCTGGCTTTTTGGAACAGAACTAGAAGTAAGTAATGGTTCTAATATGGTAGAGTGATAGCTCCATTTCAGATACCTTGTACTTAAAGCTAACAACATTTTTTTAGAAATTTCACAACACAGTGTTCTAAAGAAATTTTCTTTTTTTCAAATGCCAAAAATCATTTGACAAAATATAAATAAACATGCTAATGCAAACTGTTTGTGCAGATGATATTTTTGGTGGTGGGGAAAACATTCGTTATAACCTAATACTCTACGAACAAAGCATGCCATCTGGCACCCTAAATGAAAACTCATGTTATCTGCATTATAAGCCAAATGGCACTTTAAAAAACAGTTCCTTGGTTTCTATATTTAAGAAAACTTAATAGATATTCTATAAAAAAAAAAATAAATAAATTTTTAAAAAATCTGAAAGCTTTCAGATTTTATATATTACACCCAAAGTGGCCTTTTTTAATGTTTTGTGTGTTAACTTTATTTATTAAATATCATGATGCTCTTTGCACTTAAACCATACAATTAAATTCAACAGCAATATCACAATAGAATTAAAAAAAACTTAAAAATTTCAGATTCTAAATTATGTCCAAAAAGGCATTTTTTTAACATTTTGTGTGTTACCTTTATTTATTAAATATAATGTTCTTCGCACTTAAACCATAAATTTCAGTTCAACAGCAATGTCGCAAGGTATTTAAAATGAGCCTATCTTTAGAATTTCCGATACACAGTTTCATGGGCTTTAGCAAAAAATAATTACACGAATAAGGATATTTATTTTTGTTCTTAAAAATACTGATCATTTACAGAAGCATTTGTTAGTCACAGTATTCTAGACCCAATTTTATTTGGATCTCAGCAGTACTTTTTATAGCATTTGCATGTGTTTAGTTGACCAATAAAACATTTAACTGCTATTACAATGTTAAAATGTAATACAAATTTACCGCATAAAGTTTTCAACTTCAATATAAATTATTAAATCTTGGTGGATAGTTCAGAAAAATTATAATTTTTATGGTAAAAATAAAGCTTTAAATTAATTTTAAAAATGATTAACAAATTATAAAATCTAGTACAGTCAAAAGTCGTTAATTTGGACACCCATAATCCGGAATGATCTATAATCCGGACCAAAAAGCTACAAACTTTCTGCGCATGCGTCGCATTGACACATGAGCGTAACACCTTCACAGCTGCGAAAATGCGTGTGCGCATGCGCATAATACGTTTACGCTTGCGTGTTTAATGTATAACGGACGGTATAAGCTAAGCTAAAATTATCTAATTCAGTTAATGTTGCAGATTGCATTGTTCCTTAATCTTTGATTTGGATCCGGCTTATTATTTTTTGCAGACTGTTAGAGCAATTTTATAAAAGTAAGCTTGAACTTTCGATTATGTCAAATAGAATTTCCGATATATATTTACTAATATGTAAAAGATCTACAAAGCGAAAGTATGTTTCGAAGTCCATTAAACAAAAAGTGAAATTGCTGCAAAAAATGGATAAAGGCATATCCTTCATTTCTCTAACCATTCCGAAATCTGTTTATCAATTTCATGCTGCTCTGGGAGGGGGGGGGCGAAACGCTGCGGTGCGCAATGAATTGGAAGTTAATGTTTTTATTTTATTTGGCTTATAATTCCTTACTAAATGTAGTATTTCATCTCGATGTACTCTGTCTTTGATATGATTTAAATCAAATTCCTCATCATTATAATTCGCTTCCGATAAAGAAGAAAGTGACACAGAGGTTATTGAAAACGAAAAAATTTCGATTGACAAATTAGTCGGTATTCTCGACACAGCAATTATAGGACTTGAACAGGGGAACTTTGTAACTGAAGAAGAAATTATGTCTGTTTACAAAATTAAAGAGAAAGTATTATCACATAAAACGAAGCAACTTAAACAACTTGCATTGAAAGAAATGTTTAATAAAGTAAAACAAATAAATATTAAGCTTTTTTTTTTTTTTTTTTTTTGTAAATTTTGATACCCTTTAGATCATAATTGTTCTTTATTTCATAAATTACGGTTTCATATTTTTAATTTTATAATTTCCGCATGCCATTTTACCAGATTTAAACTGATGATCTATAATCCAGAAAAATCGATAATCCGGATTCGCCGAAGTCCCGACGAGTCCGGATTAACGACTTTTCACTGTATTTTTAAAATTTAACAACAAATTAAAAACAAATATGCGTATTAATTTTTTTCAAAATACTTACGTATATGGGTTTTCATCATCTGTGCTGTAGCTTTCAGCATATGCTGACTCTGAATCAGATGCCAGATCATTGAAACCTGATGATAATGATGATAGTTGACTAAGTGAAGAAAAACAAGTTGAAGTTAAACCACCAGGACGACCTGTGGAACCACTTATTGTATAATGAGAACGAGAGGAACTGAAGCGGTTTCGTGTTGGAAAACCATGATTAGCATAACGAACTGTATCAAACACTTTACGACTATGAGACCTAAAAACAAGCATGTATTTCAACATAAAATGCAATTTAAAATTTTAAAATTGCTTTATAACATAGAAAAGATAATTAGACTTACACATTTGTTAAAACAAATATTCCCAACAATATTATGAAAAAAGTACAGATATTATCAATTTTCAGTAGCACAAACACATCTATCTTCAAAGTGAGAACGTTTTACCACTATGTCCTTCTGTACCAGCATTTGAAATGATTTTTGAAGCTCTTTTACAGAACTTACTCTAGATTTCCTTCAAAACTTAATATATTTTTTAATTTTCCCAAACTGGAAAACCAAGGAAGTCAAGTAACTGTTTACTACAATAAAATTCAATAATTATGAATCACAAAGCCTAAATAATAGAAATAAACTTGATTAAAGACTCTTGAATGATCCTTTATGCATATGGCATCACTCACAAGAAGAGAAATTGGAAAGAAAAGCAAATGTCTAGTATTAAACTATTTCTACTTCAAATTAACTGTAATACACACACATTTATTGCAATAATTTCACAACCAGCTTTTGTTGCTGGTATTATGGTGTTTTGTTGCTGGCTCTAGTGTTATAATTGTTTGTTTAACACATTTAGTGATGCTGGTCATTTCTGTTTCAACAATTTACCAATCTGTTAATCAAAACCGTTAAATTGAGCATTGCCATTAAATGTCACTGAACGGTAAGTGTGAAAGAACTAGAGCTTTTGTTTTGGAAAAAATTTGGAAATCAGAAATAGCTGTAGTTGAAAGTATTATTACATAACAGCATCTGCTGCAAACTGAGGTTCAAAATAGTAATAACGAAACTCATCTGATGTCTAAAAAGACCTCTAGCACAATCCTGTCTTTCTACAATCTGCAGATTTTTGATTATATAGAGAATTTGCTAGCTCCCACACTTAGTGACTTTGATACCATTCCTGAAGATGACTAAAAATGTTGATGCCATTCAAAGATTTCTGAATGGCACAAAGAATTTTTGCCATAAAACTGCTTTGACATATCTCATGTTTCTGATGAACATTTACACAAAACTTAGTGAACTTACACTGCACAACAAATCCTTAACTTCATGCACTGCCAACTATAATGTATGTGACTTAAAATACCCTGACTCACTTGAGGGATTAGCCAATTTAATTGGGAGACACTGCTTCCATGTAAAGGAACTGGACTATAATTCTACTTTAGAATCACACAGCAGATCTGCTACATATGCATGAATAATTCATTAAGGATTTAGCTTCTTCAAAATGAGATACATAAATAAATAAAAAAAATATATATATATATAAATACATATATATATAAATAAAATATTAAATATATAAATGTTAAGGTATAAGAATCTGAGGAACTTTAGTCAAATGAGCAATTAAGACATTGCAGTCATTCCTAGTGCCTTCACAAAAACCCACATAGCAAACCAGTGTTCTAAGACATCCTCCAAATTAAAAATATGTGCATTTCAGAATCAAATAGTTAATCTGTTTAAATTTTTTATATGAAAAAGAATCACCACCTAAATAGCTCAGCATTAAAAAATAAAAAAAATATTCTTTAGATAATTTTAAAACTGAGAATCAGATGTTAAGAACTTCAAAGAATTAATTCATTTACTTTTTCCATGGGTTACTGAAAATATGTATTATGATAAAAATACCAATAATTTTGGTCATAAAAGAAAACTTACGGCCTTTCATCAGAAGAATAACCATCACTATCTCTTCCTAATGACTGTTCAAGTTCGTTTGCAAGAGAATCAGGATTTATATAAGGACTGTACATTCCAAAATTCTGCCATGTATTAGCACTAGGCAGACGATTTCTTTGAGCTTGTTTAACTTCGGCTTGCATCTCTTGAAAGGCAGCCATAAGCTCTCCATATTTTTCCTTCATATCTATAAGCTCCTCTGAAAGTTCATGTTGACATTCTTCAGCAATCTCCAGCTTACTAGCTAAACATTCATTGTCGGCTGTAACCTTTCATAAAGGAGAAAGAAAAAAAAATTATGCAATTTAGTGATTTTTATACAAAGATTTTAAAATTTCTTATTTACCAATATAACTCATGAAAAGTCAGCAAAGATAAAATACTTTCTGCTTTACAATCTAAAAATATTTTTTACATAAAAAGATAAATATATATGAATACATATTTCAAAATCATTCACATAAATATCTAGAGACTGTTATGCATGCATCATTCAAAAGTTTTCTCTAGCTAATGATTATCAGAAAAGAGGAGAGGAAAAGAAAGAAGGGGGAAAATACTGAATTTCTTTGTAGCTTTATATGATATTGTGCATTAATGGGCTATAATGGCATAAGACTGATTATTATAAAACTACCAATTAGGCGAACAATTTAATACAAATGAGTTTTATAAATAAAAATATAAAATGCATTCTGTTAAAGATTTAATTCTTTTTGTTAATTCATAAAGAAGGAGGCCAAAGAAATAACAAATTTACTCTTTTTTCTGCAAGTAATTATTTCCTTTCCTTATTGGTGTTCTTGAATGAATAACATAAGTTAATAATTTATAAAACGTGGCATAACAGGATTTGTTATGGGAATTTACCTGTAGAATTATTGAGAAAAGATGCAGAACAATAATAATAAACTATTGAAAAAAGCATTACATTTTTAACAATTTCCCACTTTGAATCCTTCATAAAATTCAGCATATCCTGATATTATAAGCCAAAACTCTTATTATATTCATGCCTCCTGGTACAAATTGCTTTGGCTGTATATGAAAGACTATAATTAAACTGGACAGATGGTCATAATGCTTTTACTTATTAGTAGACATATTTCTTGCTAAAAAAATACTACATTGCAAACTTTGAATAGCTTTCTAATTCAAAAACTTCTTGATAAAATACTGCCTTGATAATTAAAAGTATTAAGTATGGGTCTACAGTCTGTTTACTGCAGGGTTTCATGAGCCAATCAATGACTTGAGAAAAAACCAAATATGTGCACAATTTTATATTTATATTTTCATCTTTGTTCCGCTTAAACTATAAATTGAATGCTTTTTTTAAAATTAAAAACATACTGAAAGCAGTTATATTTAATGCCGATGCCAGTGCAACTATGAAATTTAAATTTCATAACTTCACATTCTTTAAATTTTTAAATATTTAAAATGAATTATAACTAAGCACTGTGAAATAAGTAATACAACATTAATCAAAAGCTTTGATGCTTTCAATGTATTAATGTAAGAAATGATGCCTTTTGAAAATGTATTTCAATGTATGAAAAATGCCTTTTGAAATTAAAAATTTCAAAAGGCATTTTTATTTCATTTTAGACAACTAAGGTTTTAAAGAACTAGAAATAAAAAAATATCATATATATAATAGGTTGCAGTAAATCATGACATTTATCAGGGTTCGTACGCTTTTCTGCACACGGAAATTAAGGACTTTTAAGGACCATTAATGAAAAAATTAAGGACCTATCAGCAAATGAGAACTGAACAAATTCAATTAAAAATACTATCTGTGCCTGAACTTCACTTTTGTAATACCGTCCTAAACATAAAAGTAGGATGCATTACTATTAAACATAACTTAATTAACATAATTATTAATAAGTTATAGAATAAAACTTATGAAATTTATCAAGTAGCATTAAATATTTTACACTTATAATAGTTGGACATATTAGAAAGACGATAAGTGACATTTTATTTACGTTTTACTAACAGTTAGATTTATTAAGATTTGTTGTTTTACTTCTAAATTAATAGTTAGCTTTATGTTGATTTTTTTGTGTCTCATTTTGGACAGGAACTAATGCAGCAAGTATGTGGAGAATAAAAACACACTCTGTCTTACACTCCATACACCTCAGTTTAAAAACTATCCATGCGAATTGCATTCTGGGGAGAAAACATAAATGGGAAATTATAGTAAAGGCTGAAATTATAAACAACTGGGTAATTTACATAATAATAACTGTACATACTAATAGCAGTACATATCTTTGAAGAATCTTTCTTCAGTATGTTTCCTTTTAGAATTTAAATTAAAGATTTCTATTATTCTAAAAACACTAAATTTAGCATAGAAAAAGCTGCTATTTTATATCTTTAGTAATATGAACATTCAGAAGCAATATAAAATATATATGGTAAGGGCTGGTTACAGAACAGAGACGGTGTGGCAGAATTTTTAAAATTTAGTGACACACCAAGCAACAAAATCTAGAAATGGCAAAACTTTTAGAATTTAGAGCACGCATTGGAAGCAGAATTTAGGATCCGCAGAGATTGCATCAGGTGGGAAAATGCCTAGCGCCAGTCCTGTGTATGATGCATTCAGACATATAATATGAATCATTTAAATTGTTAGTTTTCAATTTCTTTACTAAGAAAAAAATTTCTTTCTATAATGCCTGTCTTTCTGATAAGAATAAAAGCATTTTTGATATTTTCCATGTGTGTGTCTAGTGAAAATTAGAGAAAATAAAGGAAAGATAAACATGTTAAGAAAAAGATTCTAGTATCAGAAGTAAAACATTCAAATATGTTTTCTTTGTTCTTCCAGACCTTCTCCAAAAAGTAAGAAATACATCATAAACTTTCTGCAAAATACAATCGTTACGTGTTACTAGCATGGAGACATTTTTCTGTAATTTTCTAGAATCTTGGGTCTATAAATTTTGCCTTCAAATCCTTCTAAACTTTCCAAGTTGCAATGTCTAAAATCTTAAAGAAAAATTCTGTAACAGTAAAAAGCCAGAAATATTTTGAGAAAAAATATCAGAGGGAAAAGGCATAAAATTAATTTTATAGAGAAAACTGAATATTCTGAATACTCTGAGATAATTACATTGGAAAAACTCTTACCATGAAAAAATTTAAAAAGGCATTTTAAATTATTTACATAGCTATTTTGCTTTTGCTAAAACTGTTTCGTATACCTTGCTTATTTTGCAGATTCAAAATATTGTATAATAAGTGGCCAAAATGGAACTTTATAACATGACAGTAAAAATTAAAAACGTTTTATTTTAATGTTATTTTTTAAACATAATTTCAATATTTTACCACTATTTTAATGAAAATTATCCATGTTACAATGTTTTAAAAAAATGTCGAAAAATTCCCAGATCTCGAAATAAAAAATTTTTTACAGAAACTGATCTTAAAATCGCCACAATGCTTATAAGTCCCCGAATTCAGAGCCGTTTAATAAAATAATTCACATCCCGAAAAGCCAAAAGTTGTTTAAGAGTTCTTCATTAGAAAAAATGAAATCATTTAAAAATACTTATGCTGCACTTCTTTTACTATAAAACTTGAAAATCCCACGATTTATATTAGAAATAGGAACGAATTATAACCCATTCAAAGACAACCATATCTGTCAGTTGAATCGCCAAAAATATTCCTCCAAAATGCTAATTCACACTCAAAATGGCAGTCGTAAAAACAGACAGCTATTTCCGATGATTAAAATTAAGGACCTTTTGCCGATTTTTGGCCAAAATTAAGGACTTTTAAGGACCAAAAATCGATTCCAAAAAACTTAAGGACTTTTAAGGACTCTTAAGGACCATACCTAACTTTCACCTACATGGTTATGCCTAACTTTCAAAGGTCATTTATTTATATAAAGAACAAAGATCAATCAATGATATACTGCTCATTTTGTCTAAAATCCTTCCATCTTTTAATAAATCTTCCATTTCTTTATAATCCCTACCTTCCATCTTTTAGTGAGCTTTTCCTTGTTCACAGTAGGCGGAAAACTGAAAAAGTGCTGACCTGCAGCTTCATATGAATCAAACATTATACCATACAGGAAGTTTTAAACTGAACAAAACAAAGGAAATCTGACAGCTCAAGGTCAGGCAAATGTAGTCGTTACAGCAATACATTCTATCCAAGGCTCAATAACTTTTGACAGATGATCAAAATTGGCTGTAGTCTTATGCTGCTGTGATGGAACACAACTCCTTTATATCAACAAGCTTTGAATGTTTCTGAATGACGGACTTATTTAAATATCCATTTGTCAATAGGACATTCAAAATGATTGTCTAATTTCTTAAGCATGGGCTTAAAAAAAAAAGGTGACATCTTCAATTTTCCACCCCAAAGAGTTTCTCTATCTTCCTTTGATGAGTATTAGCATATGATTTTGTTTCAGGAAAATAAATACACCGGAACTACACTAGAAAGTTTGTGCAGCACATTATTGTAAACAATTCACTTCTCTTCATCAGTTATCAATCACTTCAAAAAAGGTTAACTTTTCTTCCATTTAATGAACATATCACAGAGGTTTAAAAGTACTCTCAGATTAACATCTTTGAATTCAGAAGGAATCCAAACATCAAATTTGCCTGTGTATCCAGCTTTTTCAAATGGTCATAAATACTTGAATGATGGAAGTACGATGCTTCTGCAATCTCTCATGTCATGTATTTGACTTGAATAATGCTTTTATTTTGTCATTACCAATGCCAGGGGGGGTCTTCCTGACCCAGAAGCATCCAGATCAAAAAATCACCACTAAAAATTCAGAATTTCAAGAAACACTTTTGCAGAACACAGCCACCATAAACTTCACACAACTTCTTTACAAGCTCAACACATATTCTTCCTTTTACGTAAGTAAAACAATAAAATATTGCAAAAATGACCACCTTGGTATTCCATTATCAATTTATAACAAAATCTCCAAAAATTCAACCAAGTCACTAAAGCTACAATTGTCAGCTGTCAAATGACAAAGTAATAACATAAAAATGAATGACTAATATTCTCAAAAATGAACTAGCATCATTTGCTGTACAAAAGCATCATGAATTTTCCAACACCCCAATACATATTTACATATACAAATGCTATAATTAAGTAAACGTGAGTAATGAAATCAAATAATTCAATTTCATTAATTGCAGCCTAATAGTTGCTAAAAAAAAGTAAGCAAACAAATTTTTTGCCAAATTGTTAT